ATATATCAGTTGGGCTAAACCAACTTACACTTAAACTAGGTCTTTTTAAGCTGGATAAATTTCATTCCACTTTATTTGGTTTGTTCTGCCTACCTGAATAATGTTCTATTAACTGGCCACGTTGCTTACGCTAATTGTGCTTATCTTCGGCAATTTTGTTGCGTTTGTAGCATTTTTACGTAATTTGTGGACATTTCCTACTTATCGCGGATTCGTTGCTAATCAACTTCATACAGTAATTTAGGGAAGAGTTATGCCACCGTATCTGTATGAATTATTGGAGTTATATTATTCCAGCTTGTCCTTTAATGTGAATGGCTGTTGCTTGATATCCCCGGTGTGGCTGCGCTTGATGTGCATGTTGACAAGGTGCCTACCTGTCTATCACCCACTACCTCGTCCATACTGGATCCAGGAGACAGTTGGTCGTTGCTGGAGGGGACGGAGTGCACCGTTCTTGTGGCCGTGCTAGGCTCGAAGAGTGGTTCCACGCACTCAGTGTGGAGCGGACTACGGTCCAGCCACCGCCTTGTGTGCGCTTGATTTCCCAAACACAGCGTCCTTGTGTTTGCCTGTGAAGGAGTGTGGGCCGGCTCCGTTGATGAAACGTGGCTCCCATCCACATGCCTCCCGGTCGTATTCCTTCGGGTTGACACTGGATATGGGGTGTGTGGTTGGAGTTGTGGGTGGTGCAGCGCAAGCCAACCATGGTCTCTCTGTAGGCGCAGGCGTCTTGTGGCTGGCCACAGTGACAGGCAAATCCGAAACCGGATGCCGTCAACCATATATATATATATATATATATATATATATATATATATATAGCATTTATTACCCTAGCAATTATCTTGCTGCAGTTTTGTTGCACTTTTACAGTAACTTCTCTGGTTCTCACAATATGTAAGCTACAAAAATATTGCAATTATCATTAATATTGAATACTGAACTTAGAGAGTTAAAGGCCTACAGTAGTGTTGCACCATCTATAGAGTATCAGGCCCCCAATAGGAGTATCGCCAATTTCTTTAACCGCGGAATCTAAGTGTATGTTGGCTGTGCGACTTTCGATTGTGGTGCGATGCGCTTTTTAATTCTGTAGACCACAAAGTGGGAATTTATTGATTTTCAACACCGGTTTTGCCTTGATTATTGTCTCGGGCAAACTATTGCAATATTTCATCACTCGATGCTTGAAGCACAGAAGTTGAGCTATCCACTTCAGATGCGGTACCACATGTTTGTACAGATGCTCGTGAACGCTGTCTGATGCGCACACTTGCGGCAGCGGCCTCAGCATAGGGAACTCACCAAGATGTAATATTCCATCTGTCATTGCGTCCACTCGGAACCGGTGATACGACAGTGTGTGCGGTCGTAGTCCTCTGCATCGGTCTTCATACGACATACCCAATAAAATGTGGATGATGCTGGTAGCGACATGTTGCATTCCTTCTAGTTTTTGCATCTCGCCACGGTTGATCGGACAAAAGGTGTTTGAGCTGTACTCTAACATTGGTCTTATGATTGCATAGAAGAAGCGAGTGGCAATCTCTTCAGACCAAGTGCAGAAGCTGCGCTTGAGCGCCCAGAGCATACGAAGTCCGTTTTCATGCAGTATGTTCGTGTTGTCCAAGATGTGGGTCGTGGCGGTTGGCAGACCAGGGTATACGTACGCCCGTCAGCACCTTTCCTCAGGCCCATTACTAATGACCTGACTGGGTTAATCAGTAGAGCAACATCTGTAGACCAAATGAACAGACCGTCGAGGTCAAGCTGTAGTATATATCGAAGTCATCAGGGGAATCAGGTCGTCTGCAAAGAAGACACAAGGCGGTTGAAGAAGCGGAGCTAATTCGCTGATCGGGAACAGGAACCAAAGGGGTCTTAATGCTGAGCCTTGGGATGTTACACTGGTGGAGCGATACTATTCAGGTAAATGATTATCCTTGCTGTACTGTCCATTTGCGATCACTCAGAGGTCGCTGATCTACGGGTGCAATTAGATACTAAAAGGAAGCTGTCTACACGGAGACAACATCATCTATTCAAGTGCGATGCCCGTTTAGACAAAATCGGTCTTTGCATTTGGTCAAAGCGAATTGTCACTATGAAATCCGATATATGAATAAGAAAATAATAAGTGCATAGTACATTACAACGTTTACCAATAAGCTTGGTCAGATCCGAGTCCTCATAAACATTTCACGCTTCTGGATAAAAAGAAGTGAATGTGTTCTACTACAAGGATTAGTTGGCAGTGGTAGGGGAGCTGGAATAACAAAACTATGCCTAAATTTCCTCATACCAATAATATTTCGCCATGATTAGCTGATTCCTCCGGCGTTTTCTAATATTCACGTTCGGTTTATCGCTTTTGCTGATGTTAGCTTTGGCTTTCCAGGGAGCGATGAACAAATGTAAACGAAAAACTTGTGTGCTATCATTACAATATTGTGTCTGCGCATACCCATTAGCTCAGTTAGTTCTTTTCATAATACTTCAGCTAGTTACAGCAACCGCTGTAACATGGTCTCTTCAAAAGTTTTCCGAGCGAAACTCACACCATACGCATCTACACTGGCATCCGTTAGTATCCCACCACCACGGTCTGTTTTCGGGTGAGGATTTTCACCTTACAAGCTATTGGTGTCTGCTGTCGCAAAAAAAGTAGAGAAAAAGCTAATGCTTATATATTGGAGTTTACCCCATACATTAGCTTCCGTTGGGTTCCCCAACTGTCTATTGTCAAGCATTTTCCCAGTCCAACTCCAGGTCATGTGCCCACTATGTATGTTTCTATTGCATTCACAGCTGACTATAAAAAGCGAGAACTATCTAGACATCGAAGCGTGTTTGGAAAACACAGGCATTCACTACTGCCAAGGCCAGCTCAGCAGCACAGCCGTTTCAAGCCAAAATTGAATTTATTTAATCAAATTAGCTTTACGTGGCTGTGTTGACCAAGAATGCGTTGTTGATTCTAGGTCTGGTACCAAGTCATGGACATGGCCACAATGCTTTGCAACGAAGGGCAAACACAACCTACTCGGGCAAATGTAGGCAACTGCGCTGGTAGCGGCACTACAATTAGTGCCCGGTTCCTGACGAGTGGCTGTTTTTCTGCCTCGGGCTAAAAGCCAGTACGAGGCCAAATAACCGAACTCGTTCAGACTTTACAAAAGTATTTTCCATTTCATCAGTTTGCAGAACTTATTTTGTTGAGGGCATTCTCAATCCTCATTCACTGGATAAGCCAGGAGAAACTAAGTATTATTGCTCAATGCTGAACAAAGTAGTATTTGTCTCCGTACTTGTACTCTGTCATCAAGTGCTCTACTCCGCACCAAAGTGGTTCAGGCCACAAGGGGGTGGCGCAGACAGACAGAGCCATTTATTTTCATCTATTAAAACCAGGCAAGGTCGATTGCTGCTACGCAAGACAACTTAGTCTACCCCAACATGAGCACTATAGTGAGATCAGTACTGCTAATGGGTCGCAATAGAAGAAAGCAGAACCAATTGTCCTTCCGTGTCCGCTTGACAGGCTTAATATGATGTATCACATTGGAGTTATCCTTCACTCTAAATGCCCAGCAAAGTGTTGAAATTACACGTGTTATAAATACTGGTTGCAATTTGCTCCGTACTTCCTTTTTTGGGGTAACGCAAAAATAACTGACTTTGCCGATAGCACTATTATACTCAGATTGCTCAACCAATGTTCGCCTCGTTGTCAGCATGCACTGGGGTCGACCAAGTGGATGGGGATAAAACTTATAGTTTTTGCAAAGCGGGATTGTTCCTACCATCGCCCATGGTCGCTTTTGAAGTTTCGCAATCAAAGGTTGAATGCAAGGTGCTACCGGGCCCCTTAGAACTGAGTTGAATTTGACGTGTTTTTCTACACAAACTGCATACCCACCAAAGCTCAGGCTTTGCTAGAAATGGTGACGAAGGATTCTACACGTGCGTATGTTTGGTGCCAAAAATCGCACTACTCTTTCAATGTTATGTGTTGATCAACGGAATTGACCTGACAATCATCGTCTAATCTTGACTTACTATTTATCTGATCATTGCTGACATTCTGAGTTTAATCAGCACCAGCAGTGGTCTGCAGTCAATGAAGATCAACAAGATTAAAATAGCTCAGGTTTTAAGGTAAAGAAGACGAAGTCTCACGCTATATAAATTTACTAATGATTGAACTGGGCACTATGGTTTCTTCTTGCCTTCTAGTCCGCGGTCTAGCTGACCCATCTTGTACTTGGCTGGAGACTTTATAGGTTATGTCCTGTAGCTCGTGCCAGTGGTGCTTTCGGGGTCGTCTTCCAGTTGAAGTGCCTGTTTATGTTGTGTCCGTTACTGAGGTACCTGTGTGTGTGGGGGGAAGCTGTTTGTTACACGGGGCAGTGAAAGAGGTAAGGAGGCTAACTCGGCGATGCCACTTTATCTTGGCGCCTCTGTCATCTGTTTTTGATCGTGTGTTATCAGTAATGTGTAGGCGACTTGGCGCCGAATGGTTGCATAGGTAGGCAACAAAGACAAGCTATTCAAGTAACAACCTTGGCAAAATGATAACGGTTTGCAGTAGTGAAATCGGTCATATTAATGCAGTTTTTAAAAATTTAACTATGACCAGTTACTACAGTTCAGCAATTTTCTGCAATCTGTGGACTCCATATCACTTAACCTTTGTGTGTTCCGTGACGAGTATCTACCCCAGTCTGGGTCCACATATCTACATGTTGAGCTGCTTACCACTCCTCGCAAAGCAGACGTTGACACGTCGATTTTACTCCCGTGGAATCGACTGGCTGTTATTTGATTATGATTTAACCAACAAAAGTTATACCCGCATTTTCGTTATCTTGTGCCACATGTCTGATCCGTACGTTGATGCATCCTATTTTATATCATATGGATTTCTCCATTTATTAATCCCCATCACTTTCCTTCAATCTCTCCCCTCCGTACGAACATGATGGCACACAAATCAGTCTGGGCAGCTGCGTTCACAGTTGATCAGCGCTCAATTCCTGCTGGAATGTTCAAGCATAATTATTGTCTCCCTGTTCATCTTGGAAATACCGCTGAAATTGGGGCTTTTTGGCTACAAATTCTTTTGTAATCACTGGTTGGAATTGATTGACGCCTTCGTGTGCATCGTCAGTTTTGCTGTGGATGTGTACAACATTGCACGCCATGTCCAACACGGAAAAGGAGTGATGTCCACACTCAATCAAGCAGACGCTCCGTACGAGACAGCGACGTCACATGAACAAAGCACTGGTTTTTCCCAGCGACATGACGGATCATCGTCAAAGAACACACTGGCAGATGCGGCAGGGTTACTGGTTTTGTTCCGCCTCTGGAGAGTTGTTCGGATAGTGAACGGTTAGTCTATTATTAATATTACACCCTATTTCAGATGCTATCAGCAACCTCTCTGGTCACAAACTGCGATTTTTTTCTAACCGTTTCATGAGGGCCACCAACCGTTTATTCAAATTCAGTCTGACTATTTATGTTAATTGTCTTCATCGGAAAGATACGGAACACCTGTTTTTTTGCACTGGAGTTCCGTCGTCAATCAAGTTTCATCCATGAGCATTGCATGTGTCCACCTACCATCAGCGATATGCTTGTGCTCCTATCCTCTGGGAATCCTCTAGGGCAGCTAACTGCCTAATGAGCGTATAACTCTAAAGCAGTGGTATATTGACACTGCAGTTTGATAACGTATGAACTTGTGGTAAACTGCAGCTCATTCTCACTGTCATGTAGGTTTATAGGAGCGCTTCTTAGACGCGGATTTTGGAATTAATTCGCCGTCGTTTTCGGATGTCAAAAAGAAGTGAAGGCATATTTTTCCATTGTTGTATTTCAATACTTCCACATATTATGCACGGAAGAACAGAGAAAAGCCTGGATAGATACGCTGCTGATGCTGGTGCACCTTAGTTGTTAGTTGTTCAGTTGACATTGATTGTGCGTGTTCTGGACTTCTTTGGAAGATGGTCAATGCAGCTGGTGAAAATGTCAGCTGACTAAGGAGGTAATGTCCTAGCAAAGGTTGTGTAGCAAAACGGAAAGAGGTGTCCTACAAGTTAACCCCTTGAAGAGAACAGATCTTTCCCCCAGAGCCACAAATTCCCTTAGTGAGCCATCAATTATTCTATGGCGTTATAGGCCAATTAAGGCAAGTACCGCTTGTTGGTGGGTATTTGAGAAATTTCTGTTGTTGTTGTGATGGCCCGCTGCAAACAGGTTTAGCTAACTAGCCCCCACTTATCCCCAACATCGTCGAGCTACTGTTTCCTTACCATGTGACTCATCGGTGGGTTGCATCTGCCGAATATTTATGGATTCGAACACATTAATTCATTCAGCTAATCCATCATTATCACCCAATCAGCAGGCTTAGGCTAGTCTGGCAATACACCAGACAAAGGCGTTTCGACATTCTGTGTCTTGTCAGTGGTGCGCCTCCCAGGGGACCCCTGCCGGGTTCCGCCCCCATGACATCAGGATGCTAGCAGCTATTGTCACTTCGTCACAAGTGCCAGCCAAGGACTTGTGTGATTAATTCATCTAAGGAGTCTGATTTAGACCACTAAACCATGGGTAACGCAAGCAGTCAACTCTTTTTTACGTTAGGAAGCTGCATGGTATTTAATGGTGGACGACGATACGTCGAGTTAGTTATCAGTCATATCGCTCCTTGCCCTCATACCATCAGATATTTGGTGTATAGTTGGCTGGGTCTACATGCCATCAACATTTTCACATATGATACGGTGTTTCCAAATGGTTGTTAGCTTTGATATTACCTCGAGCTGTTTACAAATGAATACAATTGGACCTAAACTATACATTCACTTACGAACTGCACTGACGTTTCCTGCTGTCCACTGTCCATCTCAGGTACACACTTCACAGTTGGCACTGTTGTAGTTAACAGTGGGCCCTGTAATGTTTATCACGAGAACTAATAGGATGGAACGGTACTTTACGTGTCAGCCCACATTTCATGGATAAACAACCTCTGTCCCATCCATAGGCTTGATCATATTGCTCAGAAGGAAGAGCTTTCGGGTTTCAGTGATATGCTTCCAGTTTATTCGATTTTAATTCACTCACACCTAAATAGCACGTACCATTATGATGTGAAGCAGATGTTGATTACCATTAGGTTAGGTTTGGCAGCTTGTGAGTATATGTGGCGTCTTTTGAGTTGGTAACCATGGTGAATTCCGTCTCCGCGGAACATTTTACCTTCCTTAGCAGTGTCTGATATTGGTGATAACCCATGCGACGGAGTTAGAACTACGGTGACCGCAGTTCCGTTTGCTTGCACACGTTCCCATCACTTGATGAATATTATTACCTAATCCAAAGTGAATTTCTCTAATATTTCTTGTAACTGGTAACAGTATGTAGCCGTGCTTTCGAGTTACCGTTAATCTTCAAAACGGATGCATGTTTAGTTGTAAAGCGTTGTCGTATGTACCATGCTTTCTATGATACTCCTTCTAACACTGACACCCCACGACCGAGGGTTTCGTTCTCGTTTACGTTCATCAGCTGGAGATAGTCTGGACAGAAGTCTAATTGGGGGCCTGGTACTTAACGGCTGATGCCTTGATTACCATACCACTGAGATCCGTGAGATTGTTTGGTCGAAATCGAAATCCAACTGTGAATAACTGACCGCTGTGTCAATCCTTGCTCATGGATCTCAGTGGCACAGTAATCCGTTCCTCAACCGTTGACCACTGGGCCCCGAGTTCAAACCCAGCTCTGACTACCTCCTCCTTATGAGTCCGAACAAGGAGGAAATCTTCGGCTGTGGTGAGGAGCAACGTTCTCTATGGTCAGAATGAGCAATGTTTACTTCAAAGTGAGTTAAAGTCTCAATAGAGATTGCGTGTCACAATCCAATACAGACTGACGGCAATACAAACTCAAGTTAGTGCAACTCCGGGAATACTTCGCTAAGATACCCAGTTGAATGAATTTACGAGCGACCAATGGGAGATCACATAATGGCGCTGTGCCCATTTTCTTCCAAAAATAAGGAGCTAGACAAACCAAACCAGAGGAAAAAATTGTTCATTAGTAATACATGATATTGTTCAAAACGTAGTAGGCATCAGTCGTAACCATATAATCCCTGGCGTCCACTGCTTGAACTCTGAAAGAAATATCAACAAGTCTCTGGCAACTGTTTCCGTAATCTCACGGCACAGTTAGATAGAGAAACGGATGGTGTGCATACGATTATGTGGTTGGTTACTTGACTGACTAATTGGCCGACTTAATAATGACTGACTAATCTACTGTTTGTTTCACTGACTGGGTAGTCGATTGGGTGATCGTAAGGCAGAAATCTACTAAGATTGCCCGGTGGAGAGAGATAAAAACCTGTTGACGGCTGTTATGAGACAGGATCAGTAACCGGTTGTCTAATTACAGGTTACACTTATATATGTCGATTTTTCTAACAACTACCCAAATCGATTACAGGAAGGCATAGCTATTAGACGACCTTGTTAAAACGCAATTTTGTCTTCCTTTGCTTCATAAAGGTCATTTATAGTGCTGTGTAATTTAAAGCTATAATGAGAGGGCAGACCGTATCCAGTCCTTCACTTAGCGGTACGCGTTGAGTGAAGTATAGCATCACCCGGCAGCTTGTTTGTAGGTCTTAACTGACAAGGATAACTCATTTTTCGGTAAGTTTCTCAACCTATGTGATATATGAAGGACTGAAGATAACCACGAAACTACTCAAGTATTATGATGTGCCTCATTGCTTTGTTGTTTCTGAAGTTTCAACCTAAAGCCCTTAGTCTCTGGACACCTATCATTAAGAACTACTCAAATGTATTACACTTTCCTTAACTTGATCGAAAGCTGATGAGGAATTCCGTTTACCTGACACATGCTGTCTTACCGTCTTCACTGAGGGTAGTCCTAAGTCTATGCACTTGTTCGCATTCAGTTTTGTTAGACCAAAACCGATACGTGCAACAGAACATGCACTTAGTCCGTTTGTCTTGCACAAGGGATTATGGGCCATGTCATCAAGGTGCCTCTTACAGTAAGTTCAGTGGAGTCGGATAATTTGGACCGCATTTACAGTGCCTCCGTTCGCTTATCGTTTTTGTATGTGAGGGAGCCTTACCCCATTCGCGTGGGCGACGATGCCGGTATTCCACCTTCGGCAATGGTTGTTTGAGGAGGATCGATCAGAACTGTTAAAAGAATCGCGTTCATATATATGAATTTATAAGTTGCGTCCTGTGGAATGCGAATATTCTCTTCAAACCACTTGGTTTCGATGCTCCAATTAGGATTGTTTGATCACATCGCATGGTACTCATCGTTTAGGATACCGAGCCCTATTCGCCATGCTGGTTTGGGCTTGGTGCGACTAAGTGTTGGCCAGCCTTCCACTCGGTTACAGCCAATGAAAATGATGAGGTCACGTTTAGCAACCGCTACAACCGCACTTTCTCTTGACTCGAGATCAAAGGACGAGGAGTTTCAGGAGCTTACGACGCCGCATTAAGGATGTTCTTGAATCATGCTTGTGGTCTCAAATATGGAAAAAGGCAAAAAGAAAAGCAAGTGGGCAGAACAAACAAACAGCGCTTAACCTTTATGTTAAAATTCTACTTTATTAAATTTCTGTGGCTTTCGACATAAACATATATATATATATATATATACACTAAATACTGAATACTGCATTATAGAGCAAGTAGAAATGAATTCTGCCCAACTCTTTCGAAATATGGTGAAAAACGTTATAAGTTGTCAGGCGTAAATATCGTTGTCGTTCGCATGTAACATTTAAATTATCTGCCTCACAATATTGCAAGACTCACAAATGTGATATGTTATCGTAAGTGTGAAATCGTTCTCAGAATCGAATAGTGGTAAAATATGAATCTAACAAGGTTTTGAACTGCTGTCCAGATGTTGCCTCCATCACATGTTCAGGTAAACTGTTCCATATATTTACCACTCTCCGTTCGAAGCACAGTGGGTGGGGAACACGTTTCACATTCGGCACGACAAGTTTGCATGTGTGTCCGCGTGTGCTGCTTGGCCCTCGTAAGTGCAGCATTGGCCTCAACATGGGGAATTCACCGCGAAGTGGTATACGGTAGGTTATAATGAGGTCGACTCGCACCCGACGGTAGGACAAGGGGTAGAGTCCTAGTTTCTCACACCGGTCTTCATACAACAAGCCACGTAAACTCGGGATGAGCCTGATATCAGCGTGTTGGACCCGTTCGATCTTTTGTGCCTCACCTCGGGTAATCTGAAATTGGGCGGGAGAACCGTACACTAACGTTAGTCTATGTATGGAAGGGAAGAGGGAG